TACATACATACATACATACATATATTCCAAAAAGCAAACCTTGATTTTGTCATTTTATATACAGGACACCATTTTACTATCCATTGTATTTAATGGGACTTGAGCATCCACAGATTTTGGTATCCCTGGGGGGTCCTGCAACCAAACCCCAGCAGAAGATACCAAGGGCCCCACTGTGTTACCAAGAATGAAACAATGAATTTAGTCACAAATGCATGACTTCTTATCTGATTGTGAATGGGGATGTGCATCCTACTTAAATCAGTAAAAAAGCCAACTGGATTCTCTTTGGATGGACAACTGGATGCACCGTCAGCATATGCTTGTGACTGCCAACTTAGCGAAATAAATTGATCCAACCTCTCCAGGAACAGGCATAGCTGGAGGACTAGCTTTAACTGTGCAAAAGCACTGCTGGCCATTGCTGAATCCTGGGTTTCCAGGCTCAGAGTGAGAATTGTAGCATCATAAGGGTTGGAAGAGACCACAAGGGAAAGGTTGGCAATGGTGACAGGGGCAGCCATGGACTCATTTCTGTGTGCGCCACCAAGCAGATGGCGTGGGGAAAGGGAGGAGTCTTGGATCCCATTGCTATTGTCCTCAATGGCATCTCCCTTTCCTGGCCTGGCCAGCATCCTTGCCAGACCTGGAAAGCTCTGCTGGGTGATGGCAGCACCCAACCAGCGCCAAGAGGCACAGCAGGTGGATGGCAGAGCTAACCTGGCTGGTGGAGGAGGGTGGCCGGTGGGTGTGCCAGGCAGCTTGACTGGGACGGGGAAGGTGGTGAGGTGGTCAGGAGGGCAAGGGTGGATGGCACCCCACTCGGCCTTCTGCCACGTTTCCTTCCACGGTCCCTCTCTTGCCCCTGCCCTCTCCCCATGTTGTGTCCCCTGGGAGTGACAGCATGAGTTATTGCACTAGGATGGCACCAACCCTAGTGATGCCACTGATGTGCATGCAGCTCACGAGGAAAGGAGGTGCTGCACAGCGGCACAAGTGTAAAAGTCTTCCTTGAAATAGGGTTATGCACTGTGTCCTCTCTGGAGTTTCTTGTCCATCACTGGGTAAGTTAGCCAGATGTCCTAACCACAAAGGAGGCCAAAGCACCACAAAATGGAGGATA